GGCGCCACGCTCCGTCGAGACTAGTTAAATCCCAAGTGTCGATTACTTTCTGCTCTCCCGCAGTAGTCGGCACGACACCCACCTCAAACCACATATTCAGGTGCAGGTGCAGATCCGCAAGGGCAACTGAATTTACCATCGCAAATAATACAAACACCCACCCGACTGTTCGAGCACCCAGTACCTTTGTTATCTCGTGTATGTCATGCTCAAGCTTAAAGGTGTTTATGAAGAGATCCCCAATAACATCATCAATGAAACAGTGGATGAGGCAATCAAAAATTATAATCAAAAAGATAAAAAATCCACATTAAGATTCAAGTCAAAGAAGGATCTCGTGCATACCATCAGCATCCGATCACGAAATTTTTCGAGAAGGGATTGGAATCACTTTTATGTGTCGTACCTACACAACCAATCAATGCACACACCAAGAAAGAAACCCTGCATTATCACACAAAACAAGAGAGACCTATGGCCTTTACATTTTGAAACCCAACGAAAAAATAACAAATGGCCATTTAAAAAAATCAATTGTGATTGCAAGGTTACCTATCGTCAAAAAACAAACGATTGGACCCTATCATGGGTCCATGAAAGACCAAAACGGACCAGGGAAGCTCATGAAAAGTTCGTAGCCATTGACCCTGGGGTGCGAACCCCATTCGTCATGTACTCACCTACTGAAGGTGTAACAGAAATTGGAAAGAATGATGCACAGAGATTATTTCGATTAGGGTTACACGCCGACAGGTTCAGTTCCCAGAGAGATATTCTAAACAATTCCACGTCGAAGCGAAAAAAAAGAATGGCGGAGAGATTAGATGGCGCGATCGCGAGAATCTCTCGAAAGATTAAGAATCTGCGTAATGAGCTTCACAAGAAAACGGTGAATCACTTGGTCCAAACTACGATGTCGTGATTATACCTGAATTCGATGTAAAGAACATGGTGACGAAAAATCAATTCGAAAGTGGTTCGGAGCATGCTCACCTGGTTACATTATGCATTCCGGCAGCGGCTGAAACACAAGGCCGAGGAAACAGGCGCGATGGTAATCATCCAGGATGAGGCGTACACCTCCAAGACCTGCAGCAATTGTGGAAACATACAAAACATCGGCGTTCGAAGAGTTTATAAATGCGGAAACTGTCATACGGTTATGGACAGGGACGTAAACGGAGCCCGCGGATCTTCCTACGGGCGTTGCTTGATGGAGCCATCCACATGTGGATGTAGGAATTGATGATCTAACGATTATTAATATTAATATTAATGATATTTTAAAATCCATCCGTTACCGAAGTTTTGGCAGCAAGTGTAGATAGACAATTTAAATTCAGTGTTCTCGCGATAATAGTATAACACTGGTAGGAGTCACGATTCTATCGATTTCGATAAAAATTACTAATGCTAAATTGTTTATGTATGGCTTTGCGAGCGCTTAATAAAATATGCCGCAATCAGATCGCTTGGAGAATACTTTCTGGGTCAAGCTGGGCCGCAAAATATTATCCAGAAGAGACTTAGGTGAGACTGACTTCAGAAGTAAAAATTTCGGCCAAGTTTAAACCTCGAACAACTGCTAGATACGAGAACAGAAAGTCCATACACCAAAGAAATATATATTGTTTGAACTGCAATCATACGGTGCAGGGTTGAGGGTGTTTATGTTATGTTATAGATGTTACGTCTGCTTAATCTGAAAGTCAGGTGATTTTAGGGTCGACCACAGTATAATATTAGTGCGCGGTGGTTAAAGCGTTACCCTGAGCGAACAATTCCTTTACGCGTGACCGAGGACGCGCGTATTACGAAGAGTCTACTCATTACATTGAAGACAATGTTCATCAAACAGGTATTTCTAAACATATAAGTTTTAGGTAGAAGTACCTCAGGATACGAGACCAACCTTTCTGTTCCGAAGATCATAATTCAAGGTTTCAAATCGTATAAAGAGCAGACAATAATCGAACCATTTAGTCCAAGGCACAATGTAATAGGTTTGTTACCAGGATATTCTATTTCTTTTTGTTTGGACTATTATATGTTCGTCAGAATCCTCTGGACTTTCCCAAAATAAATAAATTGAACATTACTCTTTGAATTTCACGATGAAGTTGGAAGAAATGGTTCAGGAAAAAGTAATTTTTTCGCAGGTAAGCTTCATATCGTGTTCCTATCGTTTGGTAAAGCGCTTTCATCGGCTTGAGGATAACACATCTTGAATACTTCTTCCTGCTGATATAGCGATTAGATTTGTTTTAAGCGATGCCTATACGAATATGGGACGCGAAGAACGCCAGGCTCTTCTCCATGTGGGTCTTTGTCGTATTACAGTTTACAATTAATTAAAATCAAATATAATAAGATACTATTTCGTGTTTTCATTACTGCTTTGAATTTATTATATGTCCATGTAATCTGATGACGCTGACAACAAAGCTTTCGTGGTCATCTACTAGGAAGGCACTGGCCCCGCAACAATGTCGGCTTATGTGGAGATTATATTCGATAACAGTGACAATCGATTTCCAGTTAGTTGCTTTTTTATTAATTATTGTCTGGAGGAATGATTCCGACTTTGCTTCGTGTTGGTTGCGCTAACATTTGTTTAAACAGACTGGAAAGGATGAAGTGGTTTTACGACGTACTATTGGTTTAAAGAAGGACGAATATTCATTGGACAAGAAGAGTGCAACGTATGTTATGAAACTGTAAGGTATGAAGACGCAGTAGTATATATTTATGATGTGTTTGCATCTTGTAGGAAAGCCGATGTGATGAATCTGCTGGAGAGCGCCGGGTTTTCGCGTTCGAATCCTTATTATATTGTTCCACAGGGTCGGGTAGAGTAAAATCAGCATTTCGAAAGATTATTTGCTTGTCCACTCATACGATTTTTGACGTGCACAATTTCTTACCCAATGACAGATCACTGCACTGACAAATGCTAAAGACCATGAGAGACTTCATTTGTTAAAAGAAGTCGCTGGGACAAGGGTCTATGAACAAAGAAGGCAAGAAAGTATGAAAATCATGGAGGAGACTGGTAATGCTTTGCATAATTGCTATTATTTAGTCAATTGTACCAACAAACGCGTGTAATATGTTCCTATTAATATTAAACATGAGATGTTTTTATATAGATTCGAAGAGATCTAAAATCGAAGAGCTCCTAAGCTACATCGAGGAGCGACTCGAAGAATTAGAAGAAGAAAAAGAAGAATTGAAGAATTTCCAAGACATGGACCGTGAGCGCCGATGCTTAGAATATACAATTTATCATCGCGAACAGACGGATCTCTTGCAGCAACTACAAGAAGTAAGGTTTATGGAAACTTTTGGTTCGACAGATAAGCAAGTATATTATCATACTAGATATGTTGATTCTCTAATGCTTAACCGACTGTCTGATTAAGATGGATGAAGCTCGCGAAAAAGATGTTCGTGGGTCGGACGAACAAAATAAAGAATACGACCAGCAACATCGGTCAATAACAGTAAGTAGATACAAATGGCATTTGTTTGCTACAAGATGCATTGCTAATTTGCATGTAATTGAAAGGAAATAGAAAATCAAATTCATGAGTTGCAGGAAAATATCGAATTTCTCAAAATAGAAAAGGAGCAACTCGATGATGATAAAAGAGATCATATAAAAGTCTATGCTCAAATTGAACTAGAAATCAAAGATCTTGAAGAGACGACATCCCAAAATCACAAGCTGAAGGTATGTTGAGAATGTGTAATAGGATAATTGTTTTTAGGTGACTGATGTATGTTATATTCTAAGAGAAAACGAGAGGCAGAATTGCGGTCTGTTGAAGCTGATATACAACGCAAAGAATCGGAGCTAAATGAAGTTTTGCCGAATTATGAAAGGGAATTACATCAAGAAGCTCAACTTAACGAGAAGTATGTGAAATGAATTTTTTAAAACAATTAGCCTTATGCCTCTGTCTCAGAATATAATTGATATTGTATAAGTATAGCCTAGAGCAAGCAGAGCTCCGAAGGCAAGCTCTGTATGCAAAACAAGGAAGAAGCATCCAATTTCGCACGCGAGCCGAGCGCGATCGATGGCTTCAGGAAGAAATGGCTGAAATTAAACGTACAATTAGCGTACAACAAAAACAAGTAAGTACATCGATGGAACATATCGAATGCGTTACAATATTATCTTTTGGTCACCATTACTCAGTCTTTACTTGTTTAGGCTAGTGATTTAGAAGATGAAATAGAAAATATTAAGCGCACTATAGTAACGACTGAAGTCGAAATACAGAACAAGAGGGAACAACTAGAGCAACGTAAAAAGAGTCTTGAACAAATGAATACTGATCTTAATGAGTTAAAAGCGAAGAGGGATAAGCTTACAGACGAAAGAAAGTTCGTATACCTCTTTAAAACAAAGATCCATTACGATTAGGTTTCAATTGCTTTTATCAAGAAAAAGTAGCAATTTTTGCATAACTGAATCTTTACACATACTATATTAGAGAACGATGGCGAGAGGACGCACAGCTTGATACTAAGTTAAGTAACACACGTGAGCTGTTGCGAAAGAGTGAAAGGTCTTTAATGGGATCTATGGACAAGGTAAATATCTATGGTTTCAGCTGATATCTCATGTGAGACATTCGCTTATATTGATTATATTTTCAGAATACTAGTGCAGGTTTGGCTCTCGTGAAGAAGATAACTGAGCGTTACAAACTTAAGGGGGTATATGGACCTTTGTTTGAGTTATTTGAATGCGTAAGTGATTCCTACTGGACTGCTGTAGAAGTGACTGCTGGTCAAAGGTGTATATTTAATTGTGGTCATCTTGTTCTCCTGTTTAGCTCTACAAATCCGTAGTCTCACATGCTATTTACGCTTAAACAGCTTATTTCATGTAGTAGTCGACACCGATGAGACTGCTACGAAAGTATTGAAAGCTCTCAATGAGGCATCAAATGGTCGCGTCACTTTCATGCCTTTAAATCGGTTACACCCGAAACCATGCGAATACCCAGCTGATGACGATGTCAAACCTATGTTAGAAGTAATAAAGTTCGGTGACAAATATGCAAAGGCTTTCCAACAAGTTTTTAGCCGAACAATAATATGTTCTAACCTCGAAACCTGTGCAACGTTCGCGAGGAGTCATGGTTTGAATTGTATCACAATGAGTGGTGACCGCGTAGATCGTAAGGGTGCCTTAAGCGGTGGATACCATGATGTTAGGCGAAGAAGGTTGGAAGCTTCTTCAAACTATAAAAGATACAGAAGCGACTGTGAAGAACTGGAAGGTCGTGCTAGTGCAATAAAGAGCGACATTACACGTCTTGATCAAAGCATCACTCGTATCCTGGGCCAGATGCAATTGATTGAAGCGAGGCGAAGGCAAGCACAAGACAGTCGTGATCCGCTCATATTCGAAATTAATTCAAAGATAAAAGAAGAGGCTAGTTTAAGAGAATCAAAAGCCAACAAGGAGAAATCTTTACAAAATGTACAAACTGATATCAGAATGCTTACCGCACAATATCAAGCCCACCAAACGGAAATGGGAACAGAGCTTGCTCAGCAGTTAACGCCACAAGAAGGACAGCAGCTTGCAGAGTTGAACGCGTCGATTGAAGACTTACGGGAACGTCTAGCAAGATCATCAACCACAAGGTCGCAGTTAGAAATAAGAAAGAATGTGCTCGAAAATGAACTCAACGCAAATCTCAAACGACGTAGAGATGAATTTGTTGCGCAGATAGAAAGTCTTACAACCAACGAAGATGCCCGTTTATCTGTCAACAAAAAGGAGTTGGAAAAGACGATTCGGAATATTAATAAGCGTACCGAAGAAATTGAGAAAACTCTGCGCAAACTATCTACGGATTTAACCGATAAGAACGAGGAACTTGAAAAAGCTAAAGCGGATCAAGAGATTTGGCAACAAGAGATGGAAAGGCATCAAAAAGTAATGGAAAAGTTCTTATCGAAAAGAAGTTTATTGCTTAAGAAGAAAGAGGAATGCCAGAAGAACATTCGCGAACTTGGTGCACTGCCTGATGCAGCTTTTGAAAAGTATACTAGCACTGACTTGACCAAGGTTAGTTTGAGGTGAGGCACTTTTTCGTTTGAAATTCTCACTGACGAATCTATTATCTGTAGCTTTTAAAGATGTTACATAAAGTTAGAGAGGGCTTGAAAAAATACAATCACGTCAATAAAAAGGCTTTTGAACAGTATAACAATTTTACCAAGCAAAGAGACACGCTAACAAAACGAAAAATAGAATTGGATCAGTCTAAAAGAGTGAGTTAAATGACGTGCTTATAGAAGGAAATTCATATTACTTACAGTTTGTCTTTTAAGGCTATTGCTGATTTAATAGATGTCCTCGACCAACGGAAAGACGAAGCGATTGAACGTACCTTTAAACAAGTTGCCAAATACTTCTCCGAAGTCTTCGAGAAACTAGTTCCTGCTGGGCGTGGTCAACTAATTATGCTGAGACATATTGATAGGGTAGGCTCATGATGCTAATGAATAAAATAAAAAACTGATACTTGGTCATTAATCTGACCGCCTCTCGCGAACTTAGGATGGAGATGAGGACGAAGACGAAGAACTTAATGAAAACGAAGGAAGCTCAGTAGATAACTATACAGGAGTCGCAATTAAGGTACATGCCTTCAAGACGGGTTATGTTTTCTGAAACTGTTCTAATGTTTTTGACACTGTTGTTGTGATTACTTTGTAGGTCTCCTTCAACAGCAAGACTGACGAGGGCCTTCGAATGCAACAATTATCAGGTGGACAGAAATCTTTGGTTGCTCTCACGCTTATATTTGCCATACAACAATGTGATCCAGCACCGTTTTATTTGTTCGATGAAATTGATGCTGCACTTGATGCTCAATATCGAACAGCTGTTGCCTGTAAGTAATGCTACAGTGATAGTTATGAAACAGCACGAGCATGTTTCTGAAATATCAAACTTTTTTTTTATCAGCAATGATACATGAATTAAGTGAAAATGGCCAGTTTATTACCACTACGTTTCGACCCGAGATGTTGGCGAATACGGACAAATTTTACGGCGTGACATTCTCTAACAAGGTATCACGCGTTAATTGCATCACGAAAGAAGACGCTTTGAATTTCGTCGAGCAGGTACGAAAGAATGTTATAATGAATGTGGTTTTATACCCTAAACTAACTCTCCTTGACCTTTCAGGAACAACCACAATAAGATCGTTAAGTATATTCACTGTAAATCTCCAATATGTAATTGGTAAAACCCTTTACTTGCCTTGCCTGGTTGCATATAAAACGCGCAAGTCTATGAAAAAATATTATACCTTTGTTTATTCTATCGAAATCTACTTGTTATTAGCAAATTTTGTAACTTGTACGTATGTTATGAAATGAGGCATTCAGTAATTATAAAATGCATATGAAATTGCAGTTTTCAAAGGTTTTGTAACATTCCTCGCTTGGGAATACTTTTCCATTATTGCCTGAATAGCTCGCGTTAAGTTTTACATAATATAAATGTTCCGTTATTCTATTTTGGTAAAAATAATAACTCAAACTTGCCAAAAAGAAGTTTCGGCCAAGCGATTACTTTATTCGGTAACAAATAGTAACAGCCAAGACTGCTGAAGCGAGATATTCAAGAGACCGAAAAATGCAAGTAAACGTTATGCTTCGACCGCGAGACATTTGTTCACTATATTAATATCAGGATTAAATACGCGGAAAGAAATATGATATCTAGCTGTAATTATTCATAGATACTCATCAAAAATTACATACCTTTAAGAAACAACATGAGCGTAATTAACCCGTCTCAAGGTAGTCAATAATAACACATAACTCGGCTATTATACTCATCGCTTTTCATACTTACGATCGATCGAATTCTATATTAATATTAATATTAATATCCCGTCGATTGTTCCGATCCGAACATTTACACGTGATCCGAACATTTTTTCGTCACTAGTATACTTCCCATATGTCGATTCGTGTAACTCACCATCTAACGGTCAAAACCAATGTATATCAGACAGCCTCTATTTCACGCATTTTCGATACATACTCGCTGCAACAGAATTATACTGTTTGCAAGACAAACTAATAGATCACTGTCCTATTTGAAATATAGACGGCCACCGGCATGGCGACCACTACTTCCCCGTATATCATCCATCACCCTTCCGCTTTCCTTCTGCCGTCATAATTTCATGCTAGCTTTTACGGAATTCGATACACCAAAAAATACAATTCATCTATCACCCATTAATCAATCTCCTGCTCATGCACTTTCAGAAACTCTGCTCCAACGACTGTTATCTGCTGTCGCTTCATTCCTATCTGACTATATAATAGAGCCTATCTTAGTCGGCTGGAGATTTTCTTACTTAACCTTACTATTTCTGCCTGTGATCTTGACGTCTCCCGCACTGTACATTGGAGAAAGAATTGAAGAGTACGGAAATGAGCGATCAGGAGCTTTATGGTGGTATGATCTGTTAGTTAGGCAGATGGAAACCGCTGGACCTACTTTCATAAAGGTATATCACGCAGAATGAAACATAATGTGTATTGATCATGGATAAAAGATCAATAGACTGATGTTTCAATGAGACAATAAATACGCTTAACTTAATGTATCGTAATAACGTGCCCCAATAACTCGCTCTTCCTCTTCCCTTTCTCCATTACTCCCATCAGTTGGCCCAATGGGCAGCTTCTAGAACAGACATTTTCCCAGAAGAAATGTGTACTCGTCTCTCCAAATTACACTCCTCTGTTGAGCCGCATTCTCTCTCTGCTACCAAACAAATCATATCCGACAATTTCAACCTACCTTTCGAGGATATATTTATATACTTTGATCCTGATCCAATTGGCGTTGGAGCGATTGCCCAAGTATACAAAGCAACACTAAAACCTGAGCTTATGCCCAACCCCCTCGATTCCTACCCAGAAGCTATCTCTGCTGAATTTGGAATAAAAATTCTACACCCAGATGCCGACAAACTGATAAAAAGAGATCTCAAAATCTTACTTATATTTGCCAAAATACTCAATGCAATACCGACTATCCAATGGCTGTCATTACCGGAGGAGGTCATGAAGTTCGGAGAAATGATGCAAGATCAGCTTGATCTCCGTATAGAAAGAAATAATCTCGTCCGTTTTGGGGAAAATTTCAAGTATCGTAAACAGATAAAGTTTCCGCGACCGTTACTGGAATATACGACTAAAGCAATGTTAATTGAAGACTATGAAGATGCACTACCGATTAGGCTGTTTCTTCAGAATGGTGGTGGAGTGTTTGATCGTATGCTTGCTGATATAGGTGAGTTGAATATCCGGTATATTGAAGCATGGGAAAACAAGATATTGGACTGCCAAATTGATGTGCTTTTTAACGTTATCTATTAGGACTTGATGCTTTTCTAGTACGTTTCTTTCACGACCCTCGAATAATCCTTGTAATTTCACGTTCTATTATTAATCACCCTACTCATTGAACAGCACATGTTGATTATCGACAACTTTGTCCACGCAGACTTGCACCCTGGTAATATCATGATCAAATTTACGAAGCCTACAATATACACACTACTACGCGATATTTGGGCAAAGGTTACCTCCACGACATCCTTCGATGAACCTTGTTTCGCGACAACAACACGATTAAGACAATACGCTGACGATCGCGATATGTGGATTCAAGAACTTACCCGACTCTACAATGATGGGTATCGTCCGCAAATAGTGTTTGTAGACACTGGACTAGTATCAGAGTTGAATGAAGTAAATCGTCGTAATTTCTTGGATTTATTTCGAGCCATTGCTGAATTTGACGGATATCGTGCGGGCAAATTGATGATTGAACGCAGCAAAGCGTCGGACATGGTTATAGATGGGGACGTGTTTGCGCTCAAAATGCAACACTTAGTATTAAAAGTCAAGTCATCAACATTTCAATTAGCCAAAATAAGAATATCCGATATCTTAACGACAGTAATGCGGATGGTCAGAACTCATCATGTCAAACTCGATGGTGATTTCGTTAACATAGTGATTGCCATTCTATTACTTGAAGGTATTGGCAAACAATTAGATCCTGAAATGGATTTACTCAAAAGTGCTCTTCCTATTCTTAGAGAACTGGGCACACAAGGCGCAGGAAGAGGAGTTAGAGAAGGAATAAAGGAGATTCCTAGTGGAGGGGGTTGGTGGTTAAAGTTCTGGTTCTGGTTAGAAGCAAGGCATTGGATATGGAATGCGTCTTGGGAGGAGTATCAAATAGTATTTGAGAGGCATATTTGGTGGCCGGATATGTAAATAAAGTAGTTGCTGCGCTCAAGAATTATAGACGCAGTCCGCAGTGAGCAAAAAACGAGCGCAGTGGGAACTTTTCTTGTGCGACGAATAAAGGAAGCGCAGTAAATTAAATTCATTACTCATATAAAGAAGCCTGATCCGTGCAAGCTTTAGTTGTTTCCTCCTGTTCATCAAGCCTTATTCTAAGCTATTACTTCTAAGATAACTATGGGTAATCCTATCGATGCCGAAAGCTTCACGACTGTGCAACACATTCGTTCCAAAATTCTCAACCCTAATTTTACGACACAGGAACATATAGACCTTATTAACGAATACGGTGCTTCTTCATACAAGGCCGCTATTTGTTCCTTATCCGATCATAACGTCGCTCTTTCTGTAGGAACCAAAGCTCGTACCATTGTTGCATTATGGGCAACCAAAAATTACGGCATTGTTGACGAATTCCTTACCACAATGGTTCCGGCTGAGGTGTTCAAGACGGTTCAGTTACTTGATGCGCCTCGAAAGGCCAGACAATGGCAAAAGAAGCTAGATTTCTACACAGCAAAGGGATTCAACATTCGCGCAACGACGAAGGCCAAAATTCAACAAGAAATCAACAATTCCAGCCAAGAAAATCATTCATCTAATTTGACTAGTTCATTTGCGAGGAGAATACGAAAGTGGTGTAAATCATTTCCCCAGCATCGATTAGATTTTTTCCTGCTTAACTTTACCAAAGAACCCTGGAAGGAATTGGCTGATTTAGTGCATCTTCGTGCCAGTGACTTTCAAGCACCGTATTTCCTTCCGATGATTTATGGTGCCGAGGCACCACCTGACTCTTCTATTGCCGCATACACAAACATAACAACCGAAAATCTCGAGAACGTCCTTGTATCTCATCCATATTTAACAGAATGCTATTCTTATATTAGGCAAAAAGTCAAAAGTGATGATATTGTACTAAATGACACTCATAAGACTATCCTAGTTCAACGCGCACCTCTGGAAGATGTCTTGTGGTTCTACGAAGAACTATGCTGTGCAGAAGCTAACACAGCAATTACTACGCGTTTACTTAATCGTGAACCATTAATGTCCGTTCATGGGAGAGCTAATTATTCAAAATTGATGGAAAGAATCCTTACATTCCGAAAACTGAATCTGCCATTCGTTGGTCAGCTGATGGATTATGCGGAAGAGAAGTTAGCAACAATCCAGTTACCCGAGGGTGAACAACATTCAGTGGCCGTGTTCGGAGACTGTTCGTCATCCATGGGAGTTGCTGTACAGGTTGCTACAATTATCGGATCGTTGCTATCGGTATACTTAAAGGCGGATCTGACGTTCTTCAACAGTGGAATCGTTCATCCACCACTAATCCCAAGGGGCGCGGCAGACGTGATCACAGTGACCGAGACTATTCGTGCTAATGGATCTACCTCACCGGCTGCCACATTATATCCTTATTATGAAGAACACAAGCACGTTGATGTAAGTCTGCCAATAAATATGTTTGCAGCGAATTTTGTCACATAATGGGCTCTAACGAATTTACTATTATCTACGTTCAGGTGTTCATCGTTGTTACGGACGAGGAAGAGAATACACGCTCCCATTCCTATAGTTTTGCTTCTCTCTTTAAAAAGTACCGTGAAGAGATTGTACCGCATGCTCAAGTATTCTTTATCAGTTTTCTTAAAGGTAACGATCGCGGTCAAATGATAACTGCACTAGAACGCGAAGGAATCACAGATGCACAACAATTTCGATTAGATGGCAATCGTCCTGACTTGAGCAAGTTTGACGAGTTATTGGGTGTGCTGGCCATAGAATTAGTTGCTATTCAACAGAAGAAACAATGATCAACATAATATGTCAAATCTAAAATATGCAATGAATACAGAATTAAGTAATGTAATGTAAGGTTACAAAGCCATCTTTGTTATATCCAAACGTATTTTGTGTGCCAATTATGTAGTTAATCTACTTTATTGTCGTGTCATTGCACAATTGTTGGCAGGAATGTTATCAGCACACTTTCGCAAGGGACTAGTCTCCAATGTTTGTGTGACTAAATATCTTCTCACGCTGGATAGGTTTATGAATATTTGTTCTCTCCTCAGTCCACAACAACTCGTTCGTCAATAACAATTAAAAGCTTTATAGAAGAGCCAATTTATTAAGTAATGGATTTCATTTTTATTGTCAGAATAGCTGACACACCATTAACTGTAATCGTGAAGAAAGTCTAAGGGAGAAAAAAATTGCTGCTATCTTGAAGTTGCTACCCTTTCGAATACGGTTGATAAGCCAACAACTTCCAGGCACTGTCCTCATGTTCTCCCATCAATTAACTTCAAATGTTCCATTGAACATGCATTCTCATGTGTCTTCGTGCTACGATATTTCTTTGGATTACTGCAACCTGTGACCGAGCAAGGAGGGACAGGTGGCGGATATCTGAAGATGTACGGAACGAATTAAAGAATAGCACGGACGAGAGGTTAGCAAGTAAGCCGCTAATGTTACAATCCACATATTCAAACTTATGCATAAATATTCACCTAGTTTCTTTGATAAAGGGAATTGGAAACTCGTATCCTATTGGTATAGATAACAAACTTCCTTCCTTTGAATTAATATATCGATATGATGTCGGTAACGGTAGTGGCGGCGGTAGTTTTCGCGCGGTATTTGATTGTCCTTCTTGGTTGTCAGTATCATCCTGGTCTTTACTACGTCGCTTTGTATTTTGCTTTTTTAGCAGGCGATTTATTGTGTCCATCTAAATAGATAATTAGGTTGTAAATGACAGAATCACTGTGCAAGCAAAGAACTATAAAGTAATTCAACCAACCTTATCTTGTTCTGCTCGTTGTATACTTTGATGCTTTCTTCTCCGTGCTATTTCAGATTTGCGCAATGCAATCTCCTCTTCTGTCAGATGTTTTTTTCGTGTTGATTCTGCTTATAGAATCAAATCGTTAGCTTTAACTATAAATGGACAAGAAAGGATTGAAACTATGACACGAAAGTCACCCTCACCCATCGGTAGTTGAAGCAAGTCAGGTTGATAATTCTCATTTAATTTGGCCCTTTGTCGCTTTGTCATTATTCGATTGCCGGCGATAGGTGTCGACGAAGAAGAGTCACCGGGACTGTACTCATCGTCCTTGTAACTAAGTCAGATCGATGGAAACTTCAAAAGTTATTCAAGGAAAATACATTCTACTGCCAATTACCAACCTGTCTATGGATCAGACAGTAGTTTCTGTAAGCAGGTTTATCGAAAGAATTCATAAACAGACCATAGATGACATACATACTTCTTCTATTCAGTTCAGCTTTATCAACCCGTTGCCGATTTTTCTGTTGTACCGGCTGATTTACCTTAGACTTTGATTCTCTAGACGTTCTATTCCGAGATCTTGACGACACAACATCCCATTCGAATTCGCTTGATTCTGCCCCGTTCATGTCTTCATTTTCAGGTAGTCCAATATCATCCTCCTCCGCCACTATGTCAACGACTTCGTCGTCTAGGTCTTCCGTAGCAGCGTCTACGTTCTCACCATCGTCATCTTGGACTTCTAGGTAGTCCATCTCTTCTGACGAATAATCATACGTAGGATCTTGTTCTTCCTCAGTGGAAACCCCTGATTCGTCGGAATCAAGTTCACTGGTATATATAGGGTCAAATATTTGCGACGTCGACTGGAGACCCGGGGGCCGTTGTGATTGCGTTCGTTTAGTCGCCATATTGCAAAATATAAAAATCGACATCAATGAAGAACTTAACGTATTCTAACACAAGGTGTTACCATGGTGTAGTCATTCATGCACTAACTATATAATTAGAAGTAGTGTCACCATCGATCATATTAATATACAACTATTGTTAATTACATTTTATTGTGCATAATAATAAAGTCAATTAGAAAGGTTTATCTAGAGATAAAGTCTCGTGGAGCAACTATTTGAATTGTCGTTAGTCAGACATTTAACAAACCAGATATTGCTCTAGCACGTTTCAATATTAGCTAAATTATCGGATGGAGGTTTGCGTTCCTTGATTTACGATTGAACGCTAAAGGTGCTCGCTCTTGCACTAATAAGGGGATGGATTGTAACATATCAATAGTACTATTTCCTGTATGATCTCCGGAGAGAATCAAGGCTCCATCAATGCCCGGAGGAAGTTCCCGAGCGCCATTTAGTCCCACAATTTGCCATGTGTACCTTGAAGCAAGCATTCCAATACGCACAACAGTTTGCACGAATTTGCGTCGACCCCATGCGCAAGATTTTTTTTAAGTCTCTTGTCATTAACGTCTTTTCCTACACGAACATCCATGTAAAGCTTATCTTCAATTTATCCAAACTCGTCATGATGGTATAGAAACGGCGGTATCGACTCCAGCGGACAACTGCATTATAAGCATATCTCGACAAGCCCATCCACCGTTTCAATAGCTGCTGATATAAATAAAATACATGGTTATTAGTAAATTGCGAGAAATAGAAATAACACTGTCATGCTAGATTTGAGTAACTCCTGGAACATATCAGTATTCAAACAATTGTCTAATATTAAGCGTAGCACTATTAAGGGAAACATTGGCATCTCTAATATTCTATGCATAATCATTTTCTATATCTCATTACCTGCTGAACACATTGCCGCGTCGATTACGCGACCAGTGTTCGACTGTCAATTCAAAAGGAACGGCTTCAATTCCTGTGAATTAACATTGTATTAATAGACACAAGACATTTATTAGTACAAGTGATCCTACTGATTAAGCAGATCGGAAATGGGAAGGTTGTTTCGAGTAATATATATCTGAAAGTTCGCACGAGAATAATGTGATGAAAAGAAAATGAATAATGAGGACGGCGGGTATGAACGATGTGCGATGCAGTAGGAATGTGGGGAAAGGGGCGATGGTTGATGGAAATACGGACGAAAAACGAGACGGATAGAACCCATGATTTCAGGTCATTCATTTTCGTCGGCCAGGCATGATGCTGTGCCAATGCGAAATATAGGGAGTACGGTTACGACTTGACTAAATGAAATTTTAGTGCTTGGCTTTATGATAGCACCAGGTGAGACATTGGGAAATGTAGAATGTGAACTTGTAGAAGTGGGATGTTTTTAGGAAATCATTATGGGAAATTGAAGATAAAAGTCATCGATTTTAATGTATTGCCCAGTTATCATATCCTCACTGTCTCTACTCTCTGTACATGTATAAACATACCGCTCATGTATCTTCTTTCCTCGATCTATCGAAAAGGCTACTATAATAAACAAGTACCGTAAACTCTCGTGAATAAGAGCCTCCCATGTAAGTTTTTTTCTCGTCTGCTTTCAAGCTCTTCCGGACTTTTTATGCAGATTGGCTAAAACAGGGGAGAACTTTGAAAGTTTACGGTATAATAATAAAAACGCTAGTCATGAATCAATCATTCAGTGTTTTGTAATCTGTAAAAGAATTAGTTGAGATCGCAACGAAAAACTTATTATTTATTACTTGACATAATAATGGCAAGACAACAGTTGCGTTTTGCGTAACAAACTGTCTTTTAAAACATTAATATATCTGACAAATAATTTGCACATACATATTATGTACTACTTACGAAATCTTCCTTCCCTCTTTTCTCGAAAACTGTTGCTCTAGTAAACAAAGTGACAATAATAAAAAACTGTTCATATGCAGAGTTTAGTTCTCTCTTGGTTATGTCCAAATTTTTTTCTCAAAAGACGCAAATCTCTATTCCGTTAAATTTATATAACGTTGACCTTATTGATGCGTTTAAATACTCATACGTTAATCTTGGAATGCCAATTAACTTACGTTGATTTCTGCCGGTATTCCTTTTACTTAGCAATAACTATTGTGAATATAATACTTTCATCAAGTCCTGTAAGAAAATATAATTTTGCGAACATCTGTATTGGCGTTATTTACTAAGCAATTGACGAATAAAATACTAATACTGATAAATTTGCACAACGTATCTGTAATTTGCTGAAGTGACAACATATGTGTAACACATATGACAGGTTGGCAGATAGTAGCTCCATTATAACAGCTTGCTTAAATCTATGAGTATTTTATTCGAACACTACAGTCAATTAGCTTCATAACAGATGTTCGAAAATTTAGATTTTTCATGTTTTACTAATTGATCGACAAAAATTACGGAGACGGAATGACAAAATATATTTTCGTTTATTTAATGGGTTTGTTATTTAATGGGGATTTGTGTGGAGGCAACCGAAAGAAAGATTTAACAGACTGCTTTATTCCAACACATAATCAGGATAGATGGGGGTTGCTTTCAAAAATGGACTTGGGTCATTAGTAAGATTGGATGGGAGAGTCAATGCCATGGATTATATTATTTTCTTGCAAGATAATTTTTATCATATTTGGATACTCTTAAAAGAAAGATCAGAGCACACTCCATTCGCGCAGTCGTTTACCCCGTTATCCGCTGAACGCGGTTTATTTGTGCAAGGCATCCTAATTTAGATTATGTTACTATTATGGATGTTGGCGTTGCGGATGGCGCTTGGCGCAGAAATGAATACGTCACTATGACTCACTTGATGACAAGAAGAGGGTCCAATTACACGTATCTCAACGAAGAACAATATGGTGATACAGGAGTAAATGATGGATGCGTTACCATCATATGATATTCAACGAAGAAGCAACACATTCATAAAATTCCACAGCACGCTGATGGTTCGACACATTGTTGCGAACATTTATATCATATGACATTTTTATGTTAGACACTAACTACATACTTTTAAACCTTGTTTTAGCTATTCCAGTGACCAATATAGTACTACTTCCGCGGACTGAACTTGCCGAAATCCCAGTCTTATCAATAAAAATACCGTTTGGCATTTACACACAACTTCCTGTGCTTCCGAGTTGGTACACAAAGTAAATTTTGAGTACAAACTCTGTATAATATTAAAAATAAGCATGCTTGCTTTATTTGTTATAATTATGGTAAACGTAAGGGCGAAAACTAGATTAGTGCAATCAGAAACAACCCCTCATTACCCGACGCTTCGGTCACGAAGTGAAGAACGACATTTTAACCCAAACCTCTTACCGTTACAATTTGCGCGTAATGTACACTTGCTCGTTTTCTGCCTAAAATTGTGATGTCATTTTCGAAGATAATTTGGCCCAAAAATTATTGGAGTGACCAGAGTAAAATTTGGGTTGTCAAGTTAATTAAGTATGCGGCACGTTACGTGTATAAGCCCAGACTTTGTTACACGAAAACGCGTATTTTTAACATAAGTCTTCAAATTACACGACAAACACCGCGCATTTAACATTTATCATAGCGAAACCTTTGCAAAACCATCCCCCACCGATTTTAACAATAGGAAAGGCTTTACATTCAAGAGTTTAATTATAATAATACTTGTATGATTTTTTTGCTTTACGGACAATCATCTCCACAAAATTTGTCTTACCGATAGAAACCGGCACAGCTTTATAGCAGTTACTTACTAACAAGGGACTGTGTAACGTGATATATTAAGCAAATTTACTACTAGAGATTTTATCAATTGCAGAATTAATAGTATCCGGGCCAGAGTAAGAGATTAATTGATCGCAAATAATAAGACCAGAACTTATTTGCATTTTTTCTCTTTCTTCTATATTTGATCAAATATCTGAAAAAGCGTCTACTAGCATGCCATGCCTCATGAACATGCCTCCTAATATCTGCTGGACTTTGGCTTTCTGGACATTATTGCGGACATTTTCTAGATATGTTGAATCGCCAGGATTCAATGGCTGTTTATTATATACTGTACGTGTCAATTTGCATCGTATAACTAATTAACGGGATAATAAGTCATTTGGGAAATAGTATCTTCTTGAAATGAAGTCACTTCATCGTGAATCAAATTCACTTCGTCGCACAAATGTTTTAACATGCATCGTTGTGCAGCAGCTTAGAAGTCCACCTTAGCTGCGCTTAATAAAGGACACATGAAATCAAACGACCGTTGTGCTACCGCAGTCAGTAAATATTTAACAAGTTAAAAATAATTAACTAAATAATAATTTCCCATTTACATTAGAACTTTAACATTATATGGGGCATGCAGCGACAAAACCAACATTCTATTATGTGACATAAATAAGAGATGTTGATGTGGCTGAGACACTAAAGTAGCTGATGCCATTTAGGGAAGGCTTGCTTCTGTGCCACAGCTGTGCCACATAAACAATCCATTAACCAACTTTTGCATTTTCAAATGTGACTATTAATTGTGTTAAGACAAACTTCTGCTTGATCTCTATATAAAAATATAACATGAAACTAAATCCACTATGGGAATCTAAAAATTACAGCACTATTAGAAGCATTTTAAAAAAAGAGCAAGGAGAAAAAATTGCACCTTATGTTTTTAAAATCAACGATTACGATACCAAAATTCTCAAAGTAAAAAAAAATTACTTATGAAATTTACCAAGAAGAACGAAAAATGATAAATATTAAGAAGAGAAAGAATAATGATCTACGCAGTTTTGCGATATAGTTTCTTGAAACTACCATCACACTTGAATTCAGTGTGTCCAGGTACCATAAAGTTCAATTCGATACTTTCATAATACAATCAACCCTCGAAAAACGATGCTGCGAAAAACCGATAACTCCCAAAACCGATACTTTTTTCAATTTGTAGGGTACCACTCGCGATA